CCTTCTGTTCAAGAGCCATCTGCTTTAATGCATCATGTTAAAGTCAAGGTCTCGAAAGGAAAAATGCTGTCACAAAGGGCAAAAAATCCCTCCTGCAACCACCACACAGAATAACTAGCATCTAAGGAAAACCATCCTATGGACGTGAGCCCAGAAAGGGGAAAAAGATCTGAACCCCTGGTGCAACAGGGGTGTGCAAATCCATGGCTTCAGTTAGTGGGAAATAACATGTATTGGGTGGATGAACACTTTAGTTAGGTAAAAAAGCACATCTTATCTCTAGCAAATCTCTGCACCCTGTCTTGAATCCCCTTCTACAGATTTTTTTTTCTTTTTCTTTTTTTTCCCCTGGGAAGATTTTCTTTTTAATATGTGAGTAAAGCAGAACAAATTCTCTCATGTTGTCTATGATCTCTTAATCTCAAACTCAGCACAGATACATAACACTGCTTAATGGAGGAAAAGCAAGAAGCATTTGATTAAATGTTTGATCTCTTGAGGAATGCACGGGCTCTGAAGAGCACAGTGCACAGATCACAAATATTTTGTGTTTTATTATTGATTAAAAGTGATTAAAATTAATAATTGGTTCAACTGATGAAAAAAAATACTTCTTTTCCTGAGCTAACACTGAAAATGTATAAGATTGGTTTGGATGCAGGGAAGTCTGGGATAGATGTGCAGAATTTCCAGTAGAATGTCATCTTCCACTCTCAGCATCCATTGCAAGTGCAGGGACAGTCTTTGCAGGAGGACTATCCATGACTTTAGAGGACTGAAATGACCACTGACAATTCTGTTTTAATTTTGCTGATTATAAATCAGTACAGTATTAAACCAAAACTCTCTGAACATTGCTTTTTTCTTTACCACACAGTTTTCACAGTCTGGAAAAAGTGAATGTAACATCATATTAAATCTGTACCATCTTCCATCTAGTTGGAGAGGCATAGATTATGAGTCAAAAATGCAAGGAACAGACTTATATATTCATGCCCTGCATCATCACAGCATTGCTATGGACAAAGTTTCACCTAAATACACAGCAAAAATGCTGGACTTTGGTTTCGGAAGAGGCATAATTTGCTTTGAGGGGACACAATGAAATAATGACCTCACCTACACAGGACTGTTAAAAAATGGAACAGAATGGAAAAGGCCTTGAAAATTTTTCTGTTCCTGGTAGTGACAGTGTTGGGACCGTGAATTAGCTGTAGGTGTCCTTGGCTACTGATGCAGCATCTCCACTGATGCTGCCTCCATACCTGGTCCCTGTCCTCTGCTCAGCATCTGCTGGTATCTCCAGTACGGTTTCCCTGGAAAGGACAAAGGCGCAAGAACAGCCAAGGCCACCACGCTAAACTTCTCTCCCAAAGCTTGTCAGGAGAGTTTCTCAGGGAATAAAGTGCGAACGGAGCTGGAGACAGTGATAAATTTCCCTTCTGAACAATCAATAAAATTCTCTCAGCCCCGCTCAGGCCCCTACCGCGGATGCGAGGGCCGTAATTACATTGTCAAAAAGTCGAGTTGCCCTGGCTGACTGAAACCCCCTTTAAAAGTGACGGGTGATTGACAGGCAGTTTATGGGTGGCATGCTCTGACTGGCAGGGGAGTTGGCTAAAGCCAAAGGCAACAGTGAAATTTCCCAGTCTGCTACAACCACCGGAGCAAAGGACTGCCACTCACAAGGGAATTGTGGGAAACCCTTAGTCATATTAACATATCAAAGCGAGGAGCTGACAGCGCTTACTAAACAAGCTGAACTCAACCATGGCTGCAGAGCATCCCCCAAACTTCCCAGTCTGAAGGAGAAAAGAAATTAAAATGCGCTCGGTCCTGTCTTCACCAAGACAGCTAAGAATTTGGAAGCCTGTTTATTTAATGATTTTGATCTGAGATAACATATATATGCGTGTATATATATGTATCTCACAAATATGTATCGTTGAGCATGTCAGCTTCTTTCATATATATATGAAAGGGGATGTCATGCTCAACAATTTATTCTATACCACAGGCCACACTGGTGCTAAATTGGAGACAGAACAACATATTTCTCTTTCATGTAAGCAATATGAACCCAGTAGAAGAACACACTCTTTTTGGTCTTGTTTTCTAGTGGGCTTCTACTGTGTAGTGCAGAGCTGAAAAGTGACTCCACAGCTAGTCTGGATTTCTTGAATATGAAATTGATAAGAATTCTTGAATAAGAATTGATAAGAAATTGAAACCAAGAGATGTTTCCATTGATGGGCAGAGCCACCTTTATCTCCACATACCTCCATCCAGGTAATGCTTGGGTTGCAGACCTCACCTTGGTTTCCTCAAGGATGAAGAATCACTAGGAATTATAGCACTGGGTAAAATGTATGAAATATCAGTGAGAAAGACCTTGAGGGTACTGACACGGACACTTAGGTTTAGTTCCCTCCATCATATTGCCAAGGTAACACTGTAAAAAGTGCTTCTGTCCCGGTTGCCTGTGAGGATGGACCCAACAAACCAGGGATGATACAGGTTCAGAAGGGAAACAAGAAGCAGCACAGGAGGCACAGCAGCAAGGAGCTGCTGCTGTTTTTTCCTACATTGCTAAAAAACTCAACAGCAAGAAGAAAACAAGGCTCTTGTTATAAAGCTCTGAGAATTTAAGGACAAAATCCTGACATACAAGGGTCAAACTGAGAATGGAAGGATACTTTAAAATAGCAGGAGAAGATATAGAAAGTGAAACAGCAAAAGCTGTTATCAGGAAAATTCAAATCATTTTAATACTTTTCTTAAAAAAAAAAAGAAACAAAAAATAAAACCATGGATGATTAAACAAATTAATCCCCTGGAACAAGCTTCTACAGAAAATGCTGGCTTCCGTTTCCCTTGATGTCCTCAAAGACCAGGCCTTTCTGGAAGGCATGCTTTAATCTAATGCGAGTTACTGAACTCAAGGCTGGAATAACAGTATGAAACTCAATGGCCAGTAACAGACAGTCAATTCAGCCCACATGATCTAACAGCAGTTCTTCACAGAGCCCCTCTAGGAAATGGGATAGAAATGCTCTGCCCTTCTGCAAGGCCAGTTTACTGAAATTATTAAAGCTGTTTGTGAAAGCTAAATAATTTAGCCTTGCTATGTCTTGACATAGTCTTCAACTGTACCTGACATGGCTTTCGGGAGTAGTGCAACCCACCTCCCTTGGCACTACCAGGAGCACCTTCCCCAGCCTCCTATGATCTCTGCTGATTCCAAAAAGCATCTGTTCACCAGCTCCTCTCCAACAAGAGGTCTCACCTGACCTTGCCCTGCTCCTGTGAACTGACAGGCGCACCGCACAGTGGTAGAGCTGGCTCCCTGGCTGTGCTCAGATTGTACCCCTCGGTGTCTGACATCATTTTTGACTGAGAGCCATACGTGTCAGTGATGCTCAAAGAGCAACATTTCTGCCTGCAGGCCAGGAGGGTGGAAGTTCAAGCCCTGCTGGAGGATATGAACGCCTACCAGTATGAAGGTTGACACACAAGAACATAAGGGAGGGAGATGAGTCATTCAGATGTGCCTCAGATGAGGCACTGGGTTTATTTCTTTGCTCCTCTGTGACACACACTGCCTTTATAAACAGCCCATTAGTTAAGAACTTGACATAGAATCACAGAATGGTTAGAGTTGGAAGGAACCTTAATGATCACCGAGTCCCACCCCCTTGCCATTCGCAGGGACACTTCCCACTAGAAAAGGTTGATCAAAGCCCCATCCAACTTGGTCTTGAACACCTCCAGGGATGGGGCATCCACAGCTTCTCTGGGCAGCCTGTTCCAGTGTCTCACCAACCTCTCAGGAAAGAATTTCTTCCTAATATCTCATCTAAGTCTCCCCTCTTTCATTTTAAAACCGTTCCCCCTCATTCTATGGATGCATTGCACTAATGTTCTGATTCATGTTGCGTTTGGACCTGAATTCCATATCCAATCCACTGCACCAAGAAATGGTCATTTTATATCTGTATTTCAAGTTCTGTATCTAAATTCTTCTACCTCACAACATCTGCCAATTTCTGTCCTTCAGGCCCCTTGTCCCTTCCACTTAGTAGGAATGTAGAGCTCTGGCCCTTTGAGAGAAATTCCAGTGGTTAGAGCAAAGGACAGAGGACCAGGCATCTAGGAGTGAAATTATTGGCATTTTATGCATAGCCCTGGGCTTATCTTTTATGACAACAACCCATGCTGATCAGGCGTGGCTATGTGGACCACCAGAAAAACCCAGAGGTGCCAGCTGTGCTCCTAAATCTAGAGAGACACTACTGGCATTGGGATGCCAGCACAGCACAGAGAGATGGAAGAGAAAGGGAAACTACATTTCCAGGAGCACTTTGCTTCTGCTTTGAAGAGAAGTATCATCCCCACTCCAGCAGACACAGGGTGCTAACCACAGCACGCTTGGCATTCACCTCACCATTGGACATACATGGAAGATCCCCATCTCTTCCAAACCCCAAAAGCCATAACCTCTTTGGGAAGGAAATGTCCCAGTTATTATAGAGAGACATGATGGAGAAGGATATCCCCTTTTAGCAGCAGAGCAAACCCACATGATACCCACCATGGGATGGAGACTTTCAATTGTGGACAGACATGCACAAAATCAACTAACCTTGAGGCACCTAAACAAGTGCCAGGGCTTACTGACTACTTGATAATGTCTATCTTCTTGGGGTCCAGATTTTCAAAATTACTCACTTCCGAGTATGAGAGTTTTTATGGACATACAGCAATGAGCTTTGGTGAATAAGGTACTCTAGAAATACGAGACTCATGGTGAATGGGAAGATATGAAGTTCTGGCCCCAAAAGATGATTTCAATAAACACTTAACTGTAATTAGAAATTCAAGTTCATGATCAAAGTTGGTTTTCTTTTTTTTTTCCTCTAGAAACTTTTTTGCTTTCTTTTACTTTCTTTTCTTTTATTCATTTATGCTTTGCTTTTAAAGAGAAGAAAAAATGTACTCACCGTGAATGGAAAGAGTCCCATTCCTCACTGCCAGGAACTTGACCCCATATGGAAATAAGGGTGGAGAATGAAGGCTTCCGTAGAGATAGATGTGTGCTTTGTGATGGAAAGGGGCCTTGGGGGATCCCACCTGGAGCTCTCCTCCATCAGATATCAGAATGTAATGAGCATGCAGTTCTACAGGTCCTGGACCAGTGAACAAAAGTTTGCCACCTGAAGACAACAGAAGAAAATGCAACCATAGATTTAATAATGAGTCATTATCTCATGGTCAAAGGAGCATAAGACATGGGTCCACAAATGGTTTTGCAATAAAATTATGAGATAAAGGATAGAATAAAATTGCTTCCTGTAAAGATTCCACCTTGCCCTGTACTTCTCCCTCTCTTCTCATCTCTTTACAGACCTTTTTAATTCAGTCCATTTTTCAGTTCTTCCACAGGCTGTCTTTCCAGACTTGAGCAAGCCCATTCATGGGCTGGCTGGGCAGACATCTAAGTCTCTCTAATTCCAGGAGTGGCTTGGAAAACCCCAGTCTTAACCTATTCACTCTCTAAATGTTAAAAAGGGATATTACAAGTTAATGTGTATGTTATTTTTCAGATTACAAACCACTTGTGACAGGGAGAAGAGAAAACATCTTTGGAACATAAGAACTGGCAACCTGTTTAGATCCATGGTTGATTTAATCCTGCATACTCTTCCAGCTGCTGTTCAAAACCAGATGCTTCCAAATACAGTATAAGAAACTTCTCCCTGTTAGCTGGATGCGAGATGATCTCCCCATCCCATGAAAACCTCATTTTAATCCCTAATTAGAGATTAGCTTCGCCTCAAAGCATCAGGTTTCATCTGTCTGCTGACATTTTCCTTTTACCATCTATTAGTATAACTAGATAACTTTTGCCAGTAATATAGACCTGATCCTTCAACTCTTTCTAATATTTAGTCTCAATGACTTCTTGAAGCAATGAAATCTGTGGCCTAAGTACATAGTTCATGGAAAGGCATTTCCATCCCTTAGTTTTCACTCTAAGTTTCCCAATAAGAATTTACTTTTTGAGTTAGAAAATTTTATGTCTGCTAGCTTTCATGAGATCTGGGCAGGTGATCTTCAGTTAGTCATCACACTATCACATGTTCTAAAGAATTAACTATCAAACAAACTTGTAATTTTCTTAGAAAATGTACTGCAGTTTGCCGTGGTTTTTTTCCATAAAATTTCTATGCTGTCATTCAGTCACTCCTATGGTTTGTAATTTATAGATTCAATCAACTATAGCATTTAACTTCATACAGTTTTTTCTTCTGACCCGTGGTTGATATCACAACAAGCAACCAATATTTCTTCCTTTACCTGTCTGGATGCTGACACCAGATCAGAACTTCTACAGCCCCCTGTAATTTCCCATATACTCTGAAATGAATATTTGTGGGCCACAGAATGCCTCTACAAGCAGTTTTAAAGCTCTTGAATGAGACTGGATCTGTTGATTTAAGAATGTGTTTTCCTGAAAAATTGTATTTAACATCTTCATCATATTAACATTCTTCAGTAATAAATGGACTGCTGGTCCATCTTCCTCTTCTGATATAATTTACCATCCTGTTCCTTCCCATACTGAGAACAGAAATATTTATTAAATACATTTGCCTTATAGCAGCAGTGTTAATAATTTTATCACCGCAATCTAGAAATGGAACTATAAATCACTGAGATTTATTTTATTCCTAACATTAAAAAAAAGAAAAAGACATCTCCCCCAAGGTCTTTATTGACTTCCTACGCTCTGTTCCCACTGAAATATAGTAATTTCTGTTTCCACTCTCTTAATACAATTTTAAATGAGTATTCTAATTGCTGCCATGCTGTACCAATGAACCAGGACAGCTAGTAGCCAAAGTTGTCCTATCTTTTGATTGTAAAAATCATAGTTCTCCCTCAAACAATAACCTCAAAAGTTTTCCCAAGTTTCAGCCACATTTTGGCCATACAAAATTTCAACAAAATTTGAAAATCCCCTGTTTCTCAGTAATAGGCAAACTGCATGACAGTTTTCCTGACTAGTCTTTCCCTCCATTGATTCACATATTTTCCATAACTTTTGTGGACACCCAGGTGCCTGGCAAGCTTGGTAATTGAATGCTGGTGACTGGTCTACTCTAGGTGTAAGAATATGCCATAGTCCCAATGTGTTTCAGTAGCATCGGGCATGCAGACACTGTCTGTGCCATGCCTGGTCTGCAGGTTTGACCCTTCCTGGAGGAAATCCTACATAGAATGGTTTCCACTCCCCGGGGTAAGATTTGGATGTGTAGGGTTAATAATAATTGGACTTCAAGGTGAGGGTTGTTCCCTGCTTTCTCTGTCCCAACGCACAATGGCCACCCAAGCACACTTGGCACTGGTGCAAAGATTTGCAAGATCAAAACCACCAAAAGGCATTTGCTTTGAGGCTTTGGCTTTCCCTTAGAAGCAGCAGTCAAACACAACATGTAATCATGGGAAACAGATATATCAGCTACACTCACAGTCACACCGTAACACCGTTGTCCCCTGGCTATTTGCTTCTGAACTCCTCCCAGAACAAAGCCCAAAGGCACTCAGTCTTTGGGAGAAAAGAAAGTGTAAAAAGAAAAGTTCAGATGCTGAAGATTAAAAAAAAAAAAAAAGCAGCATTTCAGGAAAGAAAAGAAAGCATTAGCAGGGATTCATTTAACCATTTACCAAGTCTAAGTGTAAAAAAAAATAACTAACCTCTAGCCAAACTTACAAATATTTATGTCCATAAATTGCATATTGTCCCTCTTACCCTCAGCTCTCTGTGTTTTTCATTGGGTCAGAATAAATATACAGCTGCTGCTTTACAAGATTGTCTTCCCCTTTTTTTAAAAGAAAATAAAAGTTATGCTTCCCTCCTTTATTGCACTTGACCTCTTCTCTGAAAGCAGAAAACGAGAATATTGCTCAGTGGAGCCTTTGGCTGTGACCCTCAAATTGTTTGTTATGGCTGCACAGGAAAGCAAAGTCCTACATGTGACCTTGAGGGTGATTTTATAAAAATCAATCAACTACTGTTATGATGGCCTCCCCACCAAGCAAAATAAATACAATTAAACCCATAATCACTTCTGTACAGTAATGTGCAAATTCAATGGATCTCTTTAGGTGGAGTGAGGGGGAGGAGGGAGAAATATGTTGAGGCTATTTGATACTTTGTGAGAACATCAGAAGCACCATTCTTCTCAATTAACCCAGTAATTAGCCTCCACCTCTCTGCTCAGAAAAGAAATCTTTCTTTCTCTGTCTTTACCAAAAAAAAAAAAAAGAAAAAAGAAAGAAAGAAAAAGCCCTAAACGGGAGGCAACTCCCTCTGGCCCCCAAAAGGGGAGAAATGCCAGCCCAAATTAAAAAAAAAAAAAAAAAAGAAAAAAGAAAGAAAGAAAAAGCCCTAAACGGGAGGCAACTCCCTCTGGCCCCCAAAAGGGGAGAAATGCCAGCCCAAATTAAAAAAAAAAAAAAAAAAGAAAAAAGAAAGAGAGAAAAAACCCTAAACTGTAGGCAACTCCCTCTGGCCCACAAAAGGGGAGAAATGCCAGACCAAATTAAAAAAAAAAAAAAAAAAGAATATTAAGGAAAACAAACCTGATAATAAGAGGGGGTTGTAATCTGCTCTGTAACTAACTACAGCACCATCATACCTTTGACAGAACTGATTTTGTGAAAATAAATTTATCTTTTGAAGTCCTCGGGAAATGGTAGAGGGGGCACTCAAAAAGAAATGAGTTGGAAAGATAATGTTTTAACACTTCACTTTATCAGGTGTCCTGGACTGGATAATGCCATGCCACAGCCCAGATATCCAGAACATTCATTACGGAATGAAGCTGCATCACACACTTCTGAAACTAAGAATAAATAACAACGGAGTAAAGGCTTGTGAGGGTCACTGTAGGAAGTTTCTCCTTGCTTCTGTCATGAATGTTCATGCTTTCAGACACGGCAGCTTATATTCCTTCTCGAATACTTCATTTTTAAAAAAAATCCTTCTAACATGGGTGTTCTCATAAAGTATAAAAGAGTTATTGATACTTCTTATTTAGGTTGTGATTTAGAGTGTTCTAGAAATTTCCCAAACTCAGAGGGAAGCAAATTCCCCATTCCAAAGTGCACATTTTACATGGAGAGTCTTTTTATTCTCATCTTTTAAGGTCACACTTTATCATTCACTGTCGATATAAGATCATCCTGAGAAATAGTCTATTTTTTTCCTAAAGAAGACCTCGTTAGGGAGCTAGAATAAAAGTTCCTATCACCAGAGTTAATCCTACTTCTTTATGTAAAGCTGAATGAAGCGTTGAAGCAAGCAAACTACAAGAAAGGTGCTGGATAGTCTCAGGATATATATATATATGTATGTGTATATATATATATATATATATATATGTATCAGTAGTAGTAGGGTACCAACAGAAGAATTGTCTTACATGTCATTACTGTATCATGCCCCCTCAACTAACAGAAAACCTCCTCTGCATGGAAGAGGATTTGCAGATTGAAAGGTCGTATCCTCAACTGGACTATTCCTTCCCACCACCGTGCAGGGAAGGTCTGTTCTAGTTGGGCTGTGGGGACACCATGGCCATGTATAACTAATATTCCCACAACCTTCAGCTTGCTCTTCCCTGTTCCTCTCACTCGGTGTTTCACATGACAAAGCCACAGAATCCCCCATGAGACAGGCTTAAGCTCAGAAGTTATATTCCTGGCAAACATCCCTGAGTGGCAAACAGCAGGAGGCAATTGCTGGAGCTGGAATATCTTTGCTGAAACAACTGATCCTACACAACAAGGCTGCAGTGTGCTGGCAGCCCACTTATTGCTCGTTCTTTGGCTCCAAGGATGTGCCTGGTGGGGCCTCCAAGCAGGGGAAAAAAAAACAAAATCCAAACCTAAAACAAAGGTCCTCCTGTGTACAGGAAGAGGAATAGAGAATTTATGAGCCTTAAATAAGAACAATCGATTACTTCATGGACCTGTCTCCTGCACCCCATTGACATGCTCACATGACATTTGGATGAGCTGTAAAAGTTGATTGCAGGCTGGACCACTGCCGAGTAAGATGCAAAGGAGAAAAGAAGTTTGTTCTATTGGCTCCATCCCAAAGGCTGCCTGAACCAAGAGTCCAAAACTCATTTTCCACCTCCCTGCG